AACTACTCCGACCTTCACAATTCCAGCTACTTGATAATAATAGGAATAACCCAATGAATACTGTATGGTCTGAAAGCTACTATACAATATGATTCTTAACGAGAAGGGAGGGGGTCAGAGACTGTCACAAAGCCCTGGGGTGCTTCTCTGGAGTTAGCAGGGAAACGGGACCCTGGGCAAGCAGCTCGGGTGTCCTAGGAAGTGATTCCGGGAGAAGGGGGTGGGAGAGAAGGCTAGGTGGTCAATCGCACAAGCATGCCCACGTGATGCCCCGTGGGGACCTGCTTTGCCATGGCGGTGGGAGGAGCTAGAGAAATTGCATGTCGCACGGAGGGCCAGTTGAGTCCCTGTCGTGCATGGGGAGGGCTTGAGAAGGGGAGGTTCTGTGGCATTTGTAGCCTTGATTGGGGCTGCAAAACCCAGGGACGTGGGGCAGCTGGCCTGCCGGGGACAAGCCGACACTGTGGCCCTTTTCTTGCTTGCAGCCCTAGCTTACGTGTGTCAGCCCCAGGTTTGCGCCAGCTATTCACAAGCAGAATTTATAACACAAGAGAAAAAAAAAATATTCATATCCCTTAGGGAAAAAAAAGATCAATTCGTCACTCGATATATAATACAGCCAAATGAGCTACCAAAACAAGCACACACACAAAAATACTGTGAACAGAAAAGACAAGAAAATGACCAAGCTGGGAGTCTCCGTGGGGTAGAGACATTGCTTAAAGCACTTATCAGTCCCCAGAAAAGCAAACCAAAAGCATTCTGGTTTTGTTGTGTTTAAAAAAAAAAAAAAAAAAATCCAAAAAACTCCAGTGCCCCTGGGGATGTGGTGTTAGCGGGCAGGGGTGGGAGAGCCGAGAACGGCCATTCCCTTTTTACTTGCCACTGTGAGCGGCGTGTCTGCGTGCCGGACATCAGGGGGAGGCCCCAGGCTGCCGGTCTCCGTGGTGGCTGGCCGACATTTCTCTGTTACCGGTCCCTGCCAACCAGCACTACCATGGCTGAATTGATCTACCGTTTTCCTGAGTAAACTGTAACTGGCTACAGTTTCGGTAACATGGGAAAGAACTCGGCCTCTACAGCCAACGGCAATACTCCAGGACTCCCCATCCTCCTCCTGACCCTCGATCCCAGAGCTCAGCTCTGGGTATCTGATAACTGGTGGTTGTCTGGCCGGCAGCCTCCGTTCCCACTGCATCCGCTGGACCTGAGGGCACGGGCTGGCTTAGGACACCCAGAGCCTGCTTGGGAAGGGCCCTGCTTCGTGCTCTAGCGCTTGATGGCTATTGCCTTGTTGATCAGTAAAGGAAGCTTGAAGGAGGTACACAGGGAGAGGGGGGTGGGGGAAAGAGGCTTTTGGACAGCAACATTTCAAAAAAGAAAAAGAAGTGTTTTATGCAACAGACTGAATCAAGTTTCACTGGTGTGTACTACAAATGTCAAACATTCTCAAGAGCATGACAAAAGAAAAACCACACAAAGTACATCTGATGTTCACTTTGCCCACTATTTTTGTTTCCTATCTTAAAACAGTGCAAACAAGTTATTTATGCTTTTAAAACACCACCACTACCCCTTCCCCACCCCCCCAAAAGTCCCTTTCCTCCTAGTATGGGGCGGGGTGGGGTAGGGTGGGGGGAGTCTGCGAATCTGTTACTTTGCTAGATAGAGGGCTGCGGGCCGAAGCCCCACTGGACGCGGCAGCTGTCCCCCCCTCCTCCATGTCTAAGTGCTTGCCCGGCTGTGCTGGGTTGCCCTTTTCCTCCAGGCAGAGGGAAGGGGGCTTATGGGGCCCTTCTTGCATATCTGTGGGATCATGTCCATCCCTATGTGATCCCTCCCTCTTGTCTGGAAGCTGCATGACCAGTTATGGGACGGTGGTGATTAACTGACTTAGCTGCTATGTGTCTAGAAAGTCTGCCCCTGAGGAGTCCCACTGGGAAAGCTGTGAGCACTGATTTCTAGTGAAGGGAACCCCACTAATTCCCCTTAAACTAAAAGTTGAGCCCCAGTTTGCTTCTTTTCAAGGTGGGTGTGTGTGGGGAAGCTGGCTCAATTCAGACTGTAGCTACTGGAGGATGAAGCTGGTAACAGGTTTTACAAAGCCTGAGCCTTAAGAATGAAGAATCACAAATGTTTTAATCTGGGTCGGTGGAAACTGAACTAGGTACCACAAGGAATTCTGGGAAAGACCAAAGGGCAGCTCTCCAGGCTGAACGAGAGATGTTCCAATAAAGATTTTACACTAGAGGTCCCCTTATGGAGCCCAGCTTCTAAGATATTTAGGAGAAAAGTCTAGGTTGTGAGCTGTAGTAAAGCTGTCTAATCACTCGAGTACTTCACATCAGAAACTTTTTGGAATTCGCAACCAGCATCCTCTAACAAATGCACAAGATGCCCAACTCTGGATACTGCTTCTCATTCACTGAGAACCAGGGTCTGGGATCTTGCAGCACTGAGGCTGACGTGGGGGCTACACAGGCCTCACGCTGGAAGGCTGACAGGCCAAGTGTGAGGTGTGGGCCTCTGAGAGCCCAGTGCTCAGCACTGACATGGGAACAAGGCAGCACCCTGCTTGGTCTTGGCTAAAAGGGGCTGCAGGATGTGGCATCACAAACGCTCCCTGGAAGAGCTGCAGAAAACCCAACGGAGACACAGTGCTTGCCGACAGTCCTGGACCAGAACCAGCTCAAAGGAACACGCAGAGAAGGGACCTCGCACTCCAGCTGCCGTCTCTCTGCAAGGGGCCATGGGAGCCGCCTTCTACCTGCCCAGCGCCCTTCTCTTTCTAGGAAAGAGGAAGAGAGCAATTCACATGTTCATCTCTCTGTTCGCCTCTGTGCTATGGCCACGACATTTAGAGAATCCGGCCTAGTCCAACAACCCCTCATTGAACAGGACACAGCAGTTCTCTCAATTTGTCAGAAACAAAAATAAAAGGAAGAAAATACAATTCCTCCCTGCCCCCATCCCCTGGAACTCTGGAAGCCCCACATCCCGTCCCCCCTTCTCTAACTAAAATATTTATATACGTACAACAAAAATTGTCTTAACAGCAACAAACTAGACTTTGGCTTGGGAAGGATAGGGGAGAGGGCCCTAAAAATGGCCAGCGGGCTGGGCAGGTGTCCCTCTCTTCCTCGCGTCCTCTCAGTCACTAGTGACAGCACTGAGGCTTAGCTCCCCTGCCGGCACCCTTCGCCCATGACAGGCCAGGGTCCTCCCAGATGGGCCACTCTGCTTACAAAGAACGCAGGATGCTGTTGGATGCCAGGCTTTTTAATTCAGGGACACGAACCAGTCCACAACATGCGTGGAGGAAAAAAACCAACCAAAAAGACACCAAACAGGAAAGCAAGCAAAACAATCCAAACAAAAACTACAGTAAAGCAGAAGCTCCATGTCTCTGAATCACTCCCTTTAGCAGCTACCCCTTGGGTGAAGGGTCACCCTAGTACCAATGTGAATCGACCAGGGAGCCAAATGGACCACGCTTTCTGACTTCTCATGCCTTTGAGTTAGAAATGCTGCCGGACGCTTTCTTTGAACGGTAACAGCTGAGAGCCAGGGGAGAAAGGCTTTCTTCACCGGGCGGCGAGTAAGAGATAAAGCATCGCCACTCCACACCTGCCTCCAAGGAGAGGCAGCACGGGCGGGCTCTGCGGGCAGGTCCTGGAGGGTGACCGGAAGCCAGTGGCCCGGTGCTCAGCTGGGTGGTGTCTTTGGAGGACCATGAGCTGGGTGGAGTAGCCACGAGGGCTCAGGACTGTGGGCAGAGGGGACTCAACAGGGCTCTGAGAGAGGAACATTCCTATGGCTTTGGAGCGAGTTCAAAGGGCCTCTGCCTTCTCTTGTTGCCAGAACTGCTAGGGACAGCTGGGCGAGGACTCTGTGCTTTATCCTGTCTATGTCCCCAAAGACGCTTTATTATAGAGAAACCAAAGAAAGAAAATGAGTATCAGAGTTGACTCTCCAGACACCTCCTACCTTCCCCTCTCCCCTCCCTGTCTGGAACAGCTCCAACAACCTGGACTTCACAAACTGCCTTCAGACACCTGGGGGTAATCTGACCACTGGCTATATTCTCTTGGCCCGAGGCCCTAAGTTCCTGCATCCTGGGGACAAGAGAGCAGCATGTCACTAACAGAACAGGTGAGCTAAGAGGTGGTTTGATTCGAAGTGAAGAAGCCCAGTGGGAAGGCCAGGATTCCAGGAGAGAAACGGACAGCTGCTTTCACACGCCAGCGTTCACTCTGAGCTCAGGCTCCAGATGGGGGTTTAGAATCCATAGTCTGCGAGCACGTTTGGAAACACCAACAACTATCATGCTGACCGTCTCAGGCTGTGCGTGTAAGATGATTGTAAAAGGATGGAGAAGACAGGAGAGAAGGGGAGAGACCAGCGGCTGTCTAATTCTCCTGCTCTGCGAGCACGGACTCCTGTCACCTGTTGGCGTGTGGATGCCAGCCACAGCCAATCAGAACTGCCTGCCAAAGACCAGAAACTCAGAAGACGAGAATAACACCCGCTGCGGAGAGGGAAGAGGGTATCTTCCCCTTCTGCTCGCCCCTCAGCCGTCCAGCACCAGATGCACTTTGGTAATTCTGTCAGCTGATTTCTGATCAGAGGCTTAAGCTCTCCTAATGTCTCCCTTTCCTCACGCACTGCCTTTTCCGTGATTGACAGAATAAGCTAAGCACGGACATACAGACATGGAAATGCATTTTTTTTTACCACAGTTTAAAAAAAAAGGCAAAAAAAAAAAAAAGCACAATCTTTGGAACAAAAGAATTAAAGGCAGAAATTTAAAGGAAAAAAATACATATTCAAAGAACATAGTGAGGTATAAAAAAGTATTCTCTTTTTTTGTGGTTTTTTTTTTTTTTCGTTGTTGTTGTTTTTCCTCTTCATCTTGCTATAGAGTTCCTCTACTAGTAAATATTGCAATAGCCAGGCCTCATGAACTGGGGGGCTGTCCCATGTGCAGATCTCACGTCACGTCAGTAGGGGGCAAATCGGCTGTAGCCACCTCGGTATAGACTTGCCTGTAGTATTCAAAAGACACAGAGTATCGTTAAAAGGGTGAGGAGGGTATCAGAATGAAGACAGTGGCCTGAGAAGGAGTCTGGAAAATGAGCTTTTCCTGTTGGCGATAAGAAGCACTGCTTCCTGTGTGCAGCCCCTCAGGGGTTCGGCGCCAGCACACCCGTCACTGGTGGCCTGGTGCTCCCAAGGACAGGGTAATGATGGCTTCTACTTAATTGTGTCTATTCTGCATGAATTATCACAGAGGGTAAACATAATACAGCTTTTAAACTGTATCAGCATATAGCTTAATGTTTAAAGAACATGTGTTTTTCTTGAACTGGACCCATCTGTGTGACACTGACCTCACTTTGCCTGACCATTCTCCTTGCATTTGTGACTATATCCCATGTTTCAAATGGTGCTACAGTCTTGAATCTGTCAACTAAGAAAATGTATTTCCTCTGTAGTCCCTAACATATCCCAATGAGGGTTTTGTTGCCTCTGACATACTCTTTTTATATATGTAGTTGGTGGTTTTCACTGTTTTTCAAAACATTCTATTGTGATTTGAGTGAAAATTTACAGAGCATATTCACTTTCCATTCAACAAGTCACAGTTTCCTTCGTGACGCCCTTCCCATCCATCCCCTTCGCTCATTTCCTGCCTTCTCAGCTTTATCTCTGAGCACATGCTGCCTCCTGATCTCCTCTGACACGAGTTCGAGGCCAGTGAGCCCTGCCCCACCTTAGTGTCACCACTCACCTGGCAGCCCTGCCTGTGCTGTGGCTGAAAGTGGAGCCCACCTGCAGGGCAGCTGAGTTTTAGTCCACTGTCTTGTCTTGACTTAATGACTGTTTCTCTCTTTTCCAATTAAAAATTGTTCAGAAAAAGATTTTGCCCTGAGTCATTCCTTATAAGGTTAGATCTTAGAGCATCTTGGCCCTAACTAAATGTCCCCCTAGGAACATCTAGTTAGTTCATCCCTGTCTTTATATGATACGTCTTTACATTCCCCGGGACGCAACTGCTTCCCCTCATAAATCTTCATGAGTGGAAAGTGAACGTGAGGGGGCTGGAACTCTGACACACTGCTCTGCGTCCTGCATGCTACACTTCATCCTGGCTCGATCTTGAACCACTTCTCCACTGTCAAGGGCAAGGCAAGCATTTGGCTGGGAGCACGCCTGCACCTGACACACTGTTGGCAGTCAGGCAGTTTCCATCACCAGAAATGGCGGCACCCAACCCAATATCTGATTAAACACGAGCCTATCACAGGATAACCAGAGTTTGGGAAGAGGAATTATTATAGATGAGTTCTATGAACGTCCGTCTGCCCATGAAAATATTCTGCAGCAAAAGAAGCTGGTACAGTCCTGTAAAGCTACTGTTCTCTGGGCTATGCCGAGGACTGCCTACCTGAAGGCTGAGGTACAACAGACACCTGTGGCATTTGTATTTGAAGCTTATGTCCGTGTTCTGTGTAACAAGGGAGCCCATGCTCCCAAGTCTTTGCCAACACCTACCATGTCATTCTGTCAAACTGTAGCACAGGTATGTGGTCAATGTCTGAGCCAATATGAAACATTAACCTGTTCCTTTCTTTCTCAACACATGATGCCGTCACTCAGTGCAGACCGCCACGATTCGCTCCCTTCTTCTGCCTTTACCTGGGCCATGTGGCTGAGGCTCTCTGTCTCTCTCTCAGATAGTTCTGGATGGCTTTAATGCTTTGGTAACAGAAGTAGGGCTGAACTGCCTGCCTCCCTAGAACTTTTATAGTCTGAAGGGAAAAGGTAGGAGTAAAACTGTAACAGAAAAGGAACACTACTTACCACAGCGCCAACTCCATAGCTAGCGGCAGGGGCAAGGGCATGGTAGGGGTCTGCTGTGTACACCCTGCCATAACTGGAAAGAAGAGACACAATCAGAGCGGGACAGGCAAGACTGTTAACTTAACCCCCTCCCCAAAAAACATAAAGCCTGGGTTTTCTATGGTGATGATTTCTGGGTAACGCCGTCTTGGACCACTACTAGGAAACCTTTCTATTTCATTTCCTAAGTGGAAAAACCTCTGCAAACCCCTGAGGTGCCCCTATAAAATGGAAAAGGAGGGAGGCGGAAAGAGGAAGACAGAGACTGGGTGACAGCCAAAGACTAATGGAAATGGAAGCATGGATGAGGAAGGAGGCCCAACACTGGGTTCCAGCCCGACAAAGGTGGTGGTGTGGCCTGAGCAGTGCCCAGGGCTGAGGGCCCCCCGACACACTAAGTAAGTGCCTTTCAGGGGAGTGGTGGGTGGAAACCAAGGGGGTGACACGTGGTTGGCGCAGTGCTCCAGTATCCAAGAGCGGCTGGTGTCCTTTCTACATACCCGTCGCTGTAAGCTGCCGCAGCGGCTGCAGCAGCTGTAGCTGCGGTTGCAGTAGCAGGCTGTGCGTATCTGTAGGCTGCATATCCGCCCTACAGGAGAAAGGAGAACTGACTTTACAGGTACCTCTCCCCCCTGAGGGGACAGATAAAAACACACCCACCAACACACGGACAGACACGCACAGAGACACAGGGACAGACACGAACACAGACACACATGAGGGAGGAGAATGTTTCAAACTGCATCCTTCTGCATGTTGTTCGTCTGGAAGAAACTTAAGTTCCATCCAATGCAGGGATTTGCTTCCCAATTTGACGTGTGGTAAGATTCCAAGTCAACTACCTTGGCAGTAAATATTGAAGTTACTAAAGGTTGCCTTTTCCTACTGCATTGAGCAAATCTAACTCCAACGGGATCTTTTAAATAACCTCATATGCATGTGAAGCCAGATGGTTAACAATGGAAGACCAGGGAAGAACTGGTTGATTTGCAGTATGGTGAAGAATTACAGAATATTCACGGACTGTCAGCAGAGTGGGCTAATCTGCCTGGGAAGCAGTGTGGCCAGATGCTCTTTGGAAGGGAGGATGGTGAGGCTGCCTCTTGTCTTTGGACATGTTATCAGGAGGGACCAAAACTCCTGGAGATCATTCGTAGTAAAGGAAAAAGTCAAGAGAAAACAGAAGACCCTCAACGTAACACACAAGCTCAGGCCTGACACTGTGAGGGGAGAGGGCTGGCAGCCGTCTTCGTGTACTTGGGGGTCAAGGCATTGTTTCCTCAGTGACACCCAACACCATCACCCGTTCTCAAAATTAAGCGATAAAGGGTCCATCTTGTGTCATAATTGCTGTTGGAGCTTTTAAGAGGAAAAGTATTTCCACAAAGTGGGAAAACTTTACCTGACTGACAAGAGGAGTAAATTATAGCATGTGTGCCGTCCAGTCAGAACCAATCTACAGGTGCTCCTCCAGCAGGTTTTCAGAGGCAGGTGACTGTATGGGAGGAGACGGTCCACCTCTCTCCCGCATTGCAGCTGGTGGATTTGAACCATGTGCCTTTGGGATTGCAGTGCAGCTTCTTACCACCAGGCTACCAAAGCTCCCTATTATAGTATTAGAACACACTGAATTTATATGTGGTGGCTTTGGGTCCTCTGCTGAATTTATTGCTCAGAGACGACAGTGTATAACAGAAATCTCTGACATGACAGTCTGTGCTCCATCTGGCCCATTCCACAGGCAAAAAGATTCAGGTAGAGAAACAAAATTTAGAATAAATAAACACTGCAGAGCAGAGATGAGCTTAGTATGGACTGTGCGCCAACCTGGGCTGCCACCTGTTTTTCCAAGTTGGTGTGGTCTACAGCACTGGGATCAGCTATCTAGGCCTTGACAGAGAGGTCTGCCAACCCCTGATGGGCATTCAGGAGGAGCACAGGCAGCTGGAGATCCTGAGTTAGATCCAAACGGACCAGGAGGATTCTGCCCTCAACCTCACCATTCAACTGCCTTTCTTTCCTTCCTGAAAAGATTCTGAGATTATTACCCACTAATCACATAAAACACTCTACAATTTTTCTTCAAATGGCTAAGGCCTCTCAGTCCAAGAGAATTTCAAATTCCTGCAAGCTGCTGTGCTATCTGAGGTTACATAAATCCGATTCTCAAAAGGTCCCCATTCTGTCTGTCTTAGCCTCATCAAGTTTGTTGTGAAGTACTTAAAAGTCAATCCTGATATCAAATACTACACAAGATGGGCTATTTTAAAGATTCCAACTCTCATTTTGGTTTCTTATTCTTACTGTTACCTCCTTTGCCTATACTTCATTTAGACGTGGACTGTAATTACTGTCCTTTCCCTAACAAGGATCACAACATCTAGGTCCACTCTGTTCCCATTTCAGAAGCTCACATGCGCGCTCGGTTGATTTCTGTTGGCTACATGTGCTGTCCCTCATGGGTATCTGACATGGTCGTCGTCTTGCTTTCAACTTTGCATTCCTAATCTTGTTAAACCTGCAAAAGGTACTCCATACTTGGTTCATTATCATTTCTTAGGACTGTAAATAAATTATTTCTAAGGAGACTCCACCTCTTTTTAGTTCCCCGATATGCAAGCTTCTAGTTTGCAATTTTTTTAACTTCATTAAAATTTTCTTTTAATATCTGTTATGTCTTGGGGGGGGGAAATCACTGGAAGTTTCTGCTTCTTATTTAATTCTGTGCTGCTTTATGTCACCAGAAGTAGGTTTGTTCTTATAATTTTTAAAATATTCTTGATTGGTGACCAATGGTCACATGCCACTTCTTAGTTCCTTCAAGTGAGTGAATTATAAAAGTGAACATTTTATAAATTCTTCCACATACAGAGAGTTGGACAATGACCAAGGAGGATAGAAGGAGAATTGATGCCTTTGAGCTGTGGTGCTGGAGAAGAGTATTGAGAATACCATGGACTGCTAGGAAAACAAATAGATTTGTCCTGGAAAGGGTTAAACCGGGTGGCTCCTTGGAGGCAAGGATTCTGAGGCTCCGTCTAACATACTTTGGACATGTTGTGAGGAGAGACCAGTCCTTGGAGAGGGACATCATGCTTGGGAGGGTGGAGGGACAGCGCAGGAGAGGAAGGCCCTCTATGAAGTGGATTGATTCAGTGACTGGGATAATTGGGACGGGAGTGTCAGAGACGGTGCGACTGGCACAGGACAGAGTGGAGTTTAGGGCTGTTGTACATAGGGTCGCTATGAGTCGCAGGCGACTCGACGGCACATAACAACAACACTCAGAAAAATAAGAAACTTCTACTTAATCCTACCACAACCACTGGCAGTGCAATGGGGTTTGGCAGAGACTGAGGAAGCACCTGCAGGAGTTCTCTGTGATCAATACCCTCCTTTGGGATTTCTATCTAGGTCTAAATATCTGTACCATAATATGTAGAATTAACCAAACTATTTCTTCACCTTATTTCTTTTTTAGCACTATAACAACAAATAATGAAATGAAATCATAAAAGCCTCTGTTAAACAGGCTGTAAAGCTGATGTGAACAGGTGGCATTTTTAAGCTTCAGATGAACTTCAGATGAAGTTTCATTTTTAAAACCATTTTAAAACGGTTGCTCTGTGCCACAGTGTGTGGGCAGACATTCTCAGAAGGGTCAGAAGCTCTGTTCTTCGGATATGAGGGGGTCGGCAGATCCCATCCGTAGTAAACTTCAGCTCAGTGGGGATACTAGGGTCACAGTCCTTCTGGCGACTCCGTTATAAAGTCATGGTTCAAGCTGCAATCAACCAGTTTTGGGGGAGAAAGTGGCTCTGAGTGGGATTATGGAATGAAAATCACTCTTCTCACTACAAGCAGCCACCAGCCTGCCAGTGTTTAAGGACACTGCTATCAAATCAATCCAATGGTCAGACTGTGTGAAAAGGCTTCCTTCCAAACAGGAAGAAGTGGAGAGAAGTACGTGGAGTCATCTCCTTCTTCTGTATGTAAAGTCCATCTCTGAAGTTCGTATTTGATGAGGTTCTCAGTTGCTCAAGTGAAGGCAAACAAGTCAGAAATACTAGTATTACCAAATAGACTACAAGAATGAACAGCAATGGCATGTAAGTTGTTTGTTAAGGAAATGCTTTTTTAATAGGACTATTCTACCTATTACTTTATTATAATGGTGCTACAGAAAGGCCCTAAATGGGATGCAATGTTTAGGACAGAACAACAGATCCGAACCCTGTCCTCTCCTGTGCGTCCTCACCGTCCCTGATGCACCTGAGCCCACTGCTGTGGTCACTGGGTCAGTCCACCTCTTTGAGGGTCTTACTCTCTTTGGCTGACCCTCCACCTTGCTGCTAATGGAAAGGTGAAGGGTTGGACTCTTTCAGCTGCTCCATGAGAGAAGGTCAAGGCTGTTCCGTCCATAAAGATTTACAGCTTTGGAAACCCTATGGTGCAGTCTGAGTCTATCGTGTAAGGTCACTATGAATCAGGATTTGACAGTAAGCAGTTTTTTTGTTTGGTTTTTAAAAAATGTTTAGGATGTATAGGTACTATCAGAATAGATTAATCAGGTAATTAATCAACATGACTCTCAAAACTTTGGAAAAATTAAATGGGATAGCCTAGGCGATATTCTTATTCTCAAAGTCTTTCTGGTGCTGTTTAATTGCTTACTCAATAAAACAGACTCATGCATAAGGTGAAAGAAAATTTGGTTATCTCTAGTTCAATATTAGATTCTAAGGTACACAGAGATACCAGGGTGAGAAATGTTTTCACACAGATTCCCAATTTCAATTCCTATCAGCCAATCCGAAGGCTTTTTAGAACATGAGAACACAGTGCAGTTTGAAACACCAAGGTTTTCATTATTTTCTTAAGTTTCTTCAAAAAGAACAAGGGTGGGGAAGGAGGGGGAGGAGAGACAGGGTTCAGGCGTGGGGAGGGGGTATGGCGCCACATTTATTAATCACATTAAGAACTAAGCATGCCAACATCTGAGCTAAAACAACCAGCAAAATCACCACGTTCAGACTGGTATTGGCTAACTCTATCTATCCCAGCATTCTCTTGGGACAGCGGTTCGCCCTAGGCTCTACCACAAGCTTGGTGAAGTACACAGCCTCAATTACTAGAGCGTGCAGCCACAACGACCTGGTATTACGGAAACAGTCAGTCACCACTCGAGTTAACATTCCAGACCCTAACAACTGGCCCCTCCCCAGCCCAAGGAAATAGTCAATCTTGCCCACCCTAGCCCCTGGCCCACACCACAATGTTAATAATTATAACAAGCAGTAACCCATCTGTTATATCAGAGAAGGGAACAGAGACTCCACTGAGAGATTTAGAGTGAGATGTTAACATTTCTTCAGCTGACTGCACAAACAAACAAACAAAAAAAAAAGGAGAAAGAATTCATTTGGAGATATGAAGTCATGAAATAGCTGATGTGTACTGCTTTTAACCATGCACTGATGCAAAACTGAAGCAACCATTAATAATAAAAAGTAAAAGGACATATGTATTTACACACAATCAGACCTGTTTGATCTGAAGCAGTTTGCAGATTCTATCTGTGTGTGATTTGAAATAAAACAAAAAAATGGGGATTAGCATGGCCACAGCACACCCTAATGTAGGAGGGCACACAGAGACAGCTTTCTAGAACTCTGCTAGCTGGACTGGTCTCGCACGGCTGAGCCTGGCCCCAGGGGACGCCCCTTTCCAGTTTCTTATTCCTCTGCTGTTAACTCCGAGCGGTACGCTGTGCTCAGACCGGGCAGGCCAATGCTACCTAACTCCCCTAGTCCATGGTCCTGATCCTGCCAACGCGGCCCAGCCCGAGCCTGAAGCACCCGTTCAAACTTCCGCCCTCGGCAGCACTCGGATAGTCTGTCCCTGTTTTCCTCTACAGTAATTTTTGTGTCTAAGAATTAAATTTTCACATATCTGGAGCCTATCCTTGCCTTCAACTTCAGCCTTTTCCACAGGAAAACGCTGCTACCTTTAAGAACTTTGCCCACTGTGACTGCTGACGTTAAAGCATCCATTTTCAGGGGTCAGCGCTGTGTCCGAGAGATTGCTTGTTCTGCTCAAATTAGTTTGGTCATCAAATTAACTTACTTTATCACATTGCCACCCTGACTCAAGGATTCTCCTGCATGGTCTGATTCTAGGTTTTGGACCAGCAAAAATGGAAGGATTCTGTATCTCACCCCTATTAGAGCTGGCCTGGTAGTTCAGTTGACACCGGGAGACAAAATCCTCTTAATTTTACCCTGGCCTTTGTTTTTATTCTATTTTTTTTTTGTTTTACGTTAAAACAGGACTTTGGTGAGCATGTGATGTCAAGACACCTTGTTTCTCCCTGAAAGACACTGACATTATGTGACACGGAGAAGGGTGTGTATTTCAAGACCAGCAGACAGAATGAACGCTGTTGCCTCTACGTGATGCACAGACCAACGGTCTAGAATGAGGGCAGAGCCGACTGGTGCAGTGACTGAGGTGAAAGGGAAGCGTGTGGGCGGCGTGTGGAGGGAAGGCTCATGCCAGCCTTCAAGTCATTCGGCAGAGCACAGGTCTTCCCCATCTAGCTAGGGTTTCCTCCTGTGCCACTGGGAATCATTCTTCTGGTGGCAGATCTGACTCCCTCCTGTTCCTTCTCTCGCACCCTTCTGAGCAGCTCTGCATTTCCATGATGGATGAGAGACGCTCCAAGGTCTTTAATGAATTAAGTCTTTTAAACACTATTTCCCCAAAATAGTTCACATCCAAAATCTTACTGGGTAGGCACATCAATAAATGAATTGGGTTATGAAAAAAGCCATTTAAGGTTTCTTTTTTTCCTGGCGTCCAGGTACCAGCAACCTTTCTGACAGTGTATCACTGCCCAAATGACCTCTGTGTCCTTCATGGTAAAAGGACACAGCTCAACTTTCAGGTTTCCATGTGCCTTAATTTCAAATACACATAGAGCACAACCCAGTTGCACTCTGAATTCACTGCCAATCCCCATCTGGATTCTGCTCTAGTCTCTTTTCTCATTTCTCTTATAGTTGTTAAGTAACTGTCCCCCAACTGCTAAGATCTCCAAATAGAAAAGACCAGCTTAAACACCACGGATAAATGTGATCAACAAACTAAAAGAGGTGGTGGTGATGGGACAGTGCATAGAACACGCTTGCTGTGGGTATGTGGCAATGGGACAGGAGCGCTGGGGTCTGGAGAAGTGCCACTGTGCTGAAACTTGACTGTGTGCACTGCTGAGGCAGCAGGGCTTACATCACACGCTCACAAGTCTTGAGTGTCCAAAAAAGCCTCTGTTCCCATCTCTAACGTGGAGCTGGAATGGTTAGTATAATTCAATTTGTTTCACTGCAATCCACAATCTGATTGGTTGGCAGGTCACACTGGCACTCCTACCTGAGGTATTTTAGCGCTAATGATTGGTTCCTGTAAGACTATTCTATAACAGAACACAGGAAGAGCAGTTCAAAAAACACAGCTGTGGAAGGAAAACAATCATACAAAAAAGCCCACTAAGGGGCCCACCAGCCTTTTCTTTCCTTTGGATGCAAGCATGCTTTTCATGGGGTGAGAATTGGAAGCAGTCTGGGACCCCACAGGAAAAGGGAGTTAGGGTGAACTATGCCTCTTCTGGAAGTCAGAATCCACTCGATGGCAATGGGTATGGATGTCTTTTCTACTGGTAACTAAAAGGGGAAGTGGGGAGGGGAGGTGAACCCCTGATCCCCCTGCCATGTGTCGTGTCTTATCCTGGTGGGTCTCTTTTCACGCTATGAACACAACTGTCAGATCCATTCTCCAGGAGTGATCCATAAATTAAGAAACAGAAAAGAACAGTGAGCAGGAGTCCCTGTCCAGGAGCAGAGCAGGGAAAGGAGTGGACTACAGCCTCACTCTGCCCTCTGGGTCAGTGAACCTGTTAAACTACACAAACTCACCACTCTTTCTATTTCAAAGCTCCGTTTCTGAGGAAACAAGAACTAATCTAATATTAAGAGATTTCCATAGAGGAGCAAATGTACAGAGAGAAGCAGAACAAACTACAGGTAAAATGAGAGAGTTGTTTTGTTTCCTTATTAAAAAGCACCCTTTTGCTCTTTCACATATCAGAACAGGAAACATAAAATTTAAAAGCTGTAATTGTATTAGGTCTAGGTGAACAATTACCTCATAATGCATTCTTGTTTTTCATTAGATTTCGACACTACTCTCCAAGTTACTTTAAGACAGGAACAATAATAACATTTCTACTAATTCCTTTCCTCAACCGTGGTTACTACTACTTCTAATAATAAAAAAGGCAGTGTTATTGAATTATTTCAATAAGGTAATCCAAATAGAAAATTAAGAAGAGGTACAAAAGTTATCTTCTGGAGGGCTACAGAAAAAAAACAAAACAAACTCCAAACCTCTTAATAAAACCACATATTATTAATTAATATGAGTGAACTTGAAACAAATATTTAATCAAAGGACTTATTAACAAGATGGGAAACTTTAAAAACTCCAAATAAGGAAGTTCTTAGGTGGTGCTGGTGAGTGAAACACACATCAAAATAACTTACTTTAAAAATAATCCAAATGAAAAATGTCTGACCTAACAAGACTAAATTTTAAGAAAATAATTTAATGATATAAAGATGAAATTTATGAGGCTATGGAGATTAACTTCTATGGGAGAATGTATGTGCTAAGTCATATATAATACATTTAATTACAGATGTAGAACGTATAATGGTGTAAAATTGGGATGTTTTGCTAACTCTCAAGTTTCATCAGAAACATTAGAAGACAGTTTCTACCACTTCTGAAAAACACCTGAAGCCTGGATGGCCTTCAAAGTGCAAGGACAGGTAATGAAATATGGACTAGTTGAGCTTTATGCTCGGCTATACAAGTAACCTGTGTCATTTAGGTTAAGTCAAAATATCTAAAAAACATATCTGTGAAGGAACTGGGTCAAAGCATAGGTAAGGTTCTTCTAAAAAGAAAAGTAATTAAAAGGATTTTTAAAATTAAGGCCTACTTTGGTTGTGTACTCAAGCTACACAGGCTTGTACAGTCACCTCGACTGCAGTCAAGAGGACTGTATTATCCTAATTCCTGCAGTATGCAGCCTCCCAGTGTACATTCAGAAAGCGCAGGGCCTTTTTTTCAGATAGAGAATCTCTGGCCGACCATGGAACAGTGCAACAAAAAGGTCCTATTACTGACTTGGGGAAACAATGGAAGGCAAAACCTATCCAGACAATTCCAAACCTGGTGCCCAGGAATAATTTTATTATACTGAGAAGGTTTTCTTGCAAAATTGTTTCTAAATAACACAGACCAAGCTTGCTTTCAGAAAAAGAACACTGGGAGAAGTCTTAACAAAAGACTTCAACACTCAATCTCTTATTCTTTGCCAGTTAAGAAAATGTTGTCTTTCATTTAAATTACAGGCGACAAACCAAATATGGACTCTGGAGACAACTAAACAGTTTGAATAATGGATTACATTTTGACACAACAGGTAGAATAAACAAATTGTGTGCAATCACCAGATGCTTGTCAGAAGAGTCTAGGTTGTTAATTATGTTACTTATGCTGGTTGTGGATTTTTTGGATAAAAAAGGGCTTCAGACACTGAATAAGGCATCCTCCTAGTAGCCCCCTCTGAACTGGAGTCAGTCCCTTATTTCCCTTTTACAGGATTACACTCTCTTAAGGATACAAACAGGAAACACGTAGTTCAGGAAGCTTACTGCTACCTACATAAATCACGCTCTAATGATCTAAAGAGGGATGTGAAATGACAAGAAAAGTACGAAAGGAAAGAAGTGCTCGCAGTCTAATCTACTTCCTTTATTTATGTGTGCAAATGATTTGGATAGTAAAAATAAAGGGAAAAAAAGACTTTAAACCTACTGATCATCTCGCAAATCAATCAGTGGCACACAGATTGGATCGTCTGTTGGTATAGGGAAGGGAAAAGAATATGTCCAGTAGACTGGCCCTACAATGATCAGGAGACCCAAAGGCTTAGTTTTTGCACCCAGGGGCAAGCGCAGTGGCAGAGAAGCATGCTTGCATTCTTAAATATATAAATATATATATATATATCCACAAGGAAAAGAAAACAAAAATTAAGTAAATGATATTTTTTAAAAAATAATCAAACCAAACCAAAGAAATAGAAAAAAAAAGGCTGGCTTGTCAGGGGATGGGGCTGAGAAGTCCCCGGTGTGTGTACTTACATAGAGGTCAGCACCGTAAAATCCGTCCTGGTAAACCACACTGCAGAAAATCCACACAAAAACAAAAACAAAAAAACAAAAGAACAGAAACACATTCCGGTTATTGAGGACGGCAGCATGCACATGCGCTCTACACAGGCAGGTGATGTATGAATCCGTAACCTGGGCTGTGGGGCCGTGGCAGGTCAGTGAGCAGGTGTGACAGTGCACACGCACATACACAGCTCTGGGACATGCGAGGACAGGGAGAGGTGTGAGCCACTGGGAGGAACCATCTGGACGTTTGTTAATGAAAGTAAGATTTAAACAATGAAAAACATTTCCAGAAAGATCTAATGTAGCTAATGAAATGGGAGAGGACTGGAAATAACAACTTTTTAAAGCTAGATTATGTTATGATAAGCTAGCCCTAGGAGAAAGTTTTTCTTTAAAAAGGGAGAGGGAAAGGATTCACACAAAAATGATGAACCCAAACAACTCCAATAGGGCAGAACCTGTATGCAACGTCAGCTGTGAAATGACGTAGAATATTTTGGTTTTGGTCTCAGGGTAATAAGTAACTTCTTTCTTGATATCCATACATCACCTGTTTTATACCCTGGCACATTAGACATGCGATAAGATTTGGCTGATCACACAAGCATGCAAAGTATTATTATTCAGCATTTTAAGAACCAATGCAACACCTCAGAAAAACAAGTCAATCAATTCTGACCAAAGTAAACAGAGAAATGTAATTAAAATAAAAACAAAAACAAAAACACAACCAAAAATACCCACAATGCATTGCTTTCACAAGCAGAGATAATGAGCTAAAAGGTTAAGGTGATTGGTCCAAGGTCCAAGAATTGAAAGGTGCAGTGGGGATCCCAGATAGTAACAATATAATCCAGAATGGGGAGGAGTAAGTGGATGATTTCAAGGGTTCTTTTTAACCATTAAGAGTTTTCAAAGAATTCTGAAAAAATATAATGCAAATTCTGGGCATGACCAAGGATTATCCTGTCTATTTAAAAGAAGAAAACTCAGAAAAGTCACTGGTTAGAAATAGAAAATGAAGTTGTATGAAACAAACAAGGCATCGTGCTTATTTTATTTTAAAAAATTGTGAGCAGCATTATACTTAAGATTTCTAACTTTTTCAGGCATTTTTGTGCATACAAACTTTGGGACCAAAAACGTGAATAGTAGAGATAAAAGACAAAGACTGTCTTCTTCATATCAACAGCTGACATTTTAAAAGTAGTTTATTTGCTTATTATTTATTCAACTAAACAAGCTGTGAAGTTTCACTATCATCTTCTGTTACAATAAATAGACAAGTAAGGCTGTCAAACCATATTTTTAACTCGAATACAAAATGACAAGTAGCTGACAAGTTTCTCATTTCTATCCTCAGTGGTATGTTGTTGCATTGGCATGATGGTATGGTCACACTTTACGATGCCCCAGCTGTGCTGCTGTGTCTGCATTATACAACAGGGAATTCACACTGGTGCTTCACGTTCACATAGCTAAGTTCTATGTGTTTTATAGTCTCCAGCAGCATGATCTGATAAAGGAATTCAGCATGATCTTAGAAAGTAATTTTCTTCTAAATTGCATTTTAGTAAATAGGAGACTTAGGTATAATGAGAAGGTTGATAAAATGAAAAACACTGAGGCCAAGTGGTGATTAACCTTCAACTGTTTCAGTAAGGGGACATGCTGTTTTGTTATCCACTGGCGCTGAGTCAGAACCAACTCATAGCTGACTCTTCGGTGGGCTCACAGAGGCTGTAAATCACCCAGGAGGAGACTGCCCATCTTTCTCCCCTACAGCGACTGGTGGATTCAAACCACCTGCCATCGGGTTGACAGTGCAACTCCCTATCTACGATGCCACCTGAGCTCTATGAAGGGGATAAAGGTAAACGTGTTCGTTTATTTTTTTTAAAAAATCCTGTTATGTAGAAGAGCAGTGGCATTAAAAGCATGAATACAATTTAGTGTGAGTTGATGACCTAGGGGGAAGTCACCCAAAATTTGAAAGAATCACAGTATTTCTTTTGTGTATCAAATGCCATAAGGCAGCTAGAACACAATGATTAATGATAAGATTAGTTATTAAGCTGAAAGCAATTCGAGGCCATTCTCCATAAAATACTGGACTTATTCCTTGCCATCTTCCTTGTAAACATAGGTTTAATTAATAAAAAAAGAAAACATGGGAAATCAGTGTTCAGTGTAATGCACAGAAACTGTATGTTTTGGTCTAAAGATAAAAACTCCTTTGAGTAAATATATACCTAACTCAGGCTTGTTAGAGCATGGGCTCTTAACACTTGGCCAATAAACTGAAGTGACCTACACTTGGCCAATAAACTGAAATGACCTACACTTGAGTAGAAATCAATCAACAGCTTTATAAAACATCTCAGGAATATTACAAACTAAAGACATCCCATGTTTCTGGTTAGCAATCTCTCTTTAAAAATCATGATGGATTTTAAACAAAAACTCTCTTAGATTGAAATGGAAGACGCTTCACGAACAATTTTCCTACTGGGCAGCATTTCCACAACAAATTTGTTCTTATGTTTCACTTGAATATGTCTTGATGAAACAATACTGTATCTTTAAGCATTTATTTAAAAAGAGATGTCAGAGGTTGAAGGTCAAAAGTCAAGTTGAGAGGAAAAAAAGGGGTAAAATTAAAAGCAATGGCAGAAGATGGAATGATGGAATGCATGGGAGTTAAACATCTATGAACTGGAAAGGAAAGTTAATTACGGAAGCAGTTCCCTTCTAGAGGTGCTTGGGGGCGGCCCATTTCGGCATGCATACTTGCTTTGACTGTGGAGTGGAGGACCCCTGCATGGCTCAGCCATTTTGGTTTTTGAAAGGACGCTAAATCAATACAGCCCAAGGTTAGGCCAAGAGTTTGCCATCTGAGAAGGACCTACTAAGGAGGCTCTTTCCATTTACATTTTAACTAAGTAGCAGCTTCTTTGCCACTATGTTTGTTCCTCAGAAGCATCTGGAAAAAAGCCTGTCATAGGCAGAGAAAAGATGAAGAACACAAATGTCATCCTGGAAGAGAGCAAGTCCTTGGTACAGCTGACTTCTAAAAGCCCACTCTCTAAAAACAAACGTTTCAGCCTCTGGTCCTCAGAAATAACTAAAAACAAAACCTGCCATTCTTCACTCCTTCTCCCCCATTCAGTAGCAAAGGATTTATTTGTTGCTATGGAATCATTCCACTGCAAGAGACACCCTCCATACAAAAATCAAAGGGTGAAGGATGCTCAGCTAAATTAGTGATTTTACCATCATTCAGAAGCCAACTGGAGTTTAATTCCTCCTACTTCTCCCTTTCTCCCTTGATTCAATTGGACTTGGTTCATCTTTGAATTAACCTCTTTTAATCCGTTTCCTACAAAGAAAGCAAATCCATTGTGGGTAACTAGCACTGCTGCTCACCACCCAGGCTGTGAAAGTAAAGGGCAGGGCACACGTGATCGCCTCAGCCCCAAGAGGAGGTGGTGAGAGGGGGTGAGGCCAGCAGGCGCAGCCTTCAACTACAATCTTGAGCTCCTATTTTGGCTCTCTGCAGTAGTGTTAATCCACATTCGTGCGATGCTGCGTCAGCTCCATGCCAACACACTGCTAGTAAACACAAGACAGTTCTGGCTACTCTCTTATGCCACTTGGAGGAGGGCTTAAGGTGGCCCAAATGAAGATTTATATCACCAATTGCCATTTTGTGCCACTTTGATGGAAGGGTATTTTGGTTCTTGCCACCTAGCCCATTACTTTGCAAATACTCATTGAGCGTCTAAGTGACATGGCAACATGCCTGAAGATCTGAGAGGGCTGTGGTATTCTGCTTTTGTCCAACTGCTTGCTTTGGACCCACGTCTGACTCTGGAGTCCAGTGCTTACCCTGGATAGGCGGGGATGGCTGCTGGAGGTACCGCGCGCACTGCACCATACACCGTCCGCCCTCGGCCCCTCAGATGGGCTCCTCTAAATGCAGCTGCTGTGGTGGCTGCAGTCGGGTACGGGAAGCCAGGAACTAAAGGGAGACCCAAAATAGGACAGAAATTTCAACTTACATCCAACAGCAAACGTGGGAGCACAACTTGCTTTGAAAAATCAGAGAAAGGTTAAAAGACACACACTGTCTTTTCTGCAAAGGTGGCACACTTTATTCAGTGGACCTCTGAGCAATAAGAAGTGGGAAGAGAGCCCCAACATGCAAAAGGCTAGGAACACCATGGCCTGAGGGCTAATCAAGCCAGAGGTCTTATTTATTGTCTCCTCTGCTCCGTCTCAGTTCTGGCAGCCTGATGAAAAGCTGGTCAAGAAGCTGTGAGAATTACTGCTATGTTAAGAGCTCAGATTAGAGAAACTCTTGAACTAGTCAATTATTAATCTTACTTATAAACGTTACATGCAGTAGTCATTGCTCTGTAGAATATCCTTTTTGTTCTTTTATGTGGTGTCATCCACCAAGGCAAAGGACGGTCTTTAAACATTCATCAGATAACTTCACTCATTTACTTTATCTAAACAGTTTTAATCCAGAAATGTACAGTGAAACTCTCCCCCCCCAAAAGGCATTTGTCTGGCAAAGAGGTGGCCACTTCCTAAAGCTCTATCTATTTTAAGTATACCATCCTTGGGAAAGCATGCAGACATTGATTCCAGGCCCACTGAACTTTGCTTAATTATCCCCCGTACTGGAGCAAAAGAGCCCAGGTCACAAAGACTTGGAGACACCAACAGGGCTGAGAAAATCAATAGAGGCCAAGAGGTCTCTATTACAGGGCTCAAAGCTGGCTTGCCGCGAACATGCATAACAAGCACATGTCTTCTGCCGTCTTTACTTCCAGGCACACAGGTGAAGTGTTCCTGGGGTGCCCTCAACCTCTACTACTTTCAGGTATCTCTCTCTGAGGCAGTCTTAAAATTCTACCACAGGTTAAGCAGGCCAGAACATCGTGACAGCGCTGCCTCTCCTTTTCAGCATGTCTTATACTAGGAGGAGAAGACTGTTCCCTGACAACAGTCAAAATCCATGCCAGGCCAACATAGGCTACTTACTGATTAAAGGAATGTAAGTGTTAATACCCCCTCTTCCTGACAGGGGCACTGCCGCATCATTGCCTAGGGAGACATCTGCTTGAAAGCTGGATGCTGATTACATTAAAAAAAAATGTTTAAATGCAAAATGGTTACAATGGAACAGCAAATTGAAAAACAACAGATGTTATAGCAGTTAAATAGTACGAACGGAAACTGAACTTAAATACTACCTGCATATAACTCGGGGCCGTAAACAGCTCCAACTACTGGGCTTAATTTCCAACCTGAAACGGAAGAAAGGACAGTATTAGGACACCTTAGGGAAAGAAGAACGAGGGTTGCATTACATGCAAAAGACGGCTTCAGGCATCTCTGAGATGATTCTGACCAGCAGCCAAATTGCCTTTCGAATGACCGCGGTGGAGGGTGGGCTGTTTACACACATAGGAGGGTGACCCCATTCCTCAGGAACTGTCTGTCTCTAGCGTGAGGAGAAAATTAAAGGAGAAGGAAGAGCTTGAGATAGAGGGGAAGGAAAAGAGGAAGAAGAGAGAAAGCTGGGAGGCAAAGAAGGAAAGAATGAAGGACATGCCAGAAGAAAACAAGTAAAAACACAGGCGGTGGGTACAGATTGGTTCCTAAGTGTGTCTTCAAAAGCAGAATTTGAAGGTACGTGTGGTTCTTACGATTTAGCCTTACTATCTATTTCAAGAAAAGTCTTGATGACTTCTCAGGGATTTAAAGCTGCCTGAAAAGCATGTAAAGGTGACCGTGGTAAGGAGTCTGAGTAAGGGTCAGGTTGGTTCGAGGAGTCCTGATGGCACAGTGGTTTAAGCTCTGGGTGGATGGCTTGAATTCACGGGCCATTTAGCAGGAGGATGAAGCAGTCAGCTTCCCTGAAGAGTTACAGCTGTGGAACGCCCCCAAGAGGCAGCTCTGCTCTGCCCTTGACAGTTGAAATCAACTCCACATTAGGGGGCTTGGGCTTGGGCTGAGTGTAAGGGTTGCAAGCATGGATGGACAAAAGGAGAAAGTTACCCTGTATCACAATGTCATGTGATTTCTTCTCTATCTCAGCACTATACATTGCTCATAAAGGTGTCCTTTGGCTGAGTTCAAACTTGACTCAGAATTACACCATGATGGTATTTTGGACAAATTCTAAACTTAGCACTTAACATTTTAAATCACTATGTCAACAAGGTAAGGTGAGTGATAATAAAATTTAAGATAAATTTTCAACTTCTCAACTAAGTAATTCAAAATTAACAAATTTAAGTTAATCAGGCTTGTTAGCTAACAAAGGCCATCAGATTTCAGTAAATGTCTGATTAGGTATTTATATAGTTGAAGAATTTACAAACCACATGACATTCGATGCTGTTTTTCTATCTTCTCTATGTCTTTTATAATTACAGGAATATGGCAAGAGTTAAACTTACTACCACTACTGGTGTCTAACAGCTAAGGAGTAGACTCCATATTAAAATTTTAATCAATCAATAATTACTGACTCATTTATTTACAAGTAAGCATGGCTTACTTATTTTTTTTTTTTCTGAGGCATTTTAGCTCACTTCTTTTATAAAATGTGCTACTGCTACTCCATAAATATATGGCTGGAAAGAAGCAAAGGCCAGTTTCGATGGGAATAACCAGATTTAAGGACACAGGGAAAAGCTATCCATTCTGAACCAATCCAATCTCCCACCATTGCATGTGCTTATTATAGTGACATCTTGTCAGCATTCACTAAAAAATTCTGGGTTCAAATCCTACTTGAATTGGAAGAGCACAGACATTTTGCAGTGTCAGGTAAATCAAGTGATTTCAATGAAGAATTCAAGAGAAGGCAGCCAGCACACATAAAATCTTTAACTCCATAATGACACATTTTTTAAAAGTCTGGCTCCTTTAGACTTGGATCTTAATTTGGAACAATCTGTTAAAAAATTATCTTCTTTCTTATCAGCAGTACTATTTCTTAAGCCTCCAATTCCATCTGCTCAGCAGGTGCGAGATGAGGTAATAATAACCCCTTAAGTATATTTATCTTAGTAGAACTCATAAGGTATTTTCAGATATTGGTATCATCTTACCTTTACAAAACTTAAGAGACCCAGGTAAGGACCAGCTCTGTAACCATACCTCCCTGAGCCTTGTGTCCTAAATAATAAGCTAAGAGGACTGGATTTAAAGACTTGTGAGAAAGTGCATCCCAAAATTCCATGACCTCCAATTTACAAGTGTGGAAACAGAATAAAGAAAATGGGCCTTCATACAACAAAGAATCCGATCTAGAAGAAGAACTTCTGTCTCCTGAATTCCAGTCTAGGTTCTTTCATCATTTTCCCTATGACCAAAAGGAAGTGGAACATACTTTGTCTCTCATGCCCATTTCGTTGGCATTGAGTTTTAACCAAACTTTCAGTAATTTCTGTTTTTGTGACAGCAGTGGAGGCCAACTGGCAGGTGGTGCGATTTCAGGGCTCACAGCACCAATGACAGGGTACGGAAAATGAAAAGGCACTTTATCAGTTTGTATCACCTGAAAAGCTGGGCTAAAGATACTTATGGGAAATGGTATCTACAGGCTGTAAACAGAAGAAAAATATATGCACATATAAACATATGTAAATACAAAGAAATACGTACATACGCACTTCTATGACTGGCATATGCTACATTCTAGTACAGTCTTCTTACATCTTCTAAAAACATTACAAACTCCATCTGCCTTTGTCCACAGAGCCCCAAGTGTGCAATGCAATGGAGCTGTGAGAATGAAGGCGGGCTGGGGGTTTCAGGACAAAGCTGTTCTGATTTCTTGGTTGTCGTCCCCAAGACAGCTTGAAGTGCACAGCTTCGAGAAGCCCGCATGTGACACAGCTTCTCCTCCTCAACAGTGCCCGATGGATGCTCCAATGAGCAGGAGTCAGTGGGAGAGGTCAGACTCGGCAGATACTCAGGGGTATTACAAACAAGTCTAACTGATCACAAAGAACGAAAGCTGAAGAGGAATGTGGCGGAGCAGAACTGCCACCTCGGGCTCTCTAGGCTGTGCTTGTTGGAGGCAGACCGCTATGTCTTCCCATGCAGCTGCTAGGTGGGTTTGAACCACTCACCAACCTTTCACAGTTAGCAGCAAGTGATTAAGCTTTGTGCTACCATGGCCCAATGCACCAGTGAATTGGTGAATTCTACTGAGAACATAATACCTACATGTACAAACTAAGCTAGTTGAGTTCTAAGAAAATAGGTTAACTTGTAAAAAAAACAAAAGTCCTCCTGAGTAAAGAGTTTACCTCAAAGTAAGTGAAGGAAACCACCCAAGACAAGTAGGATTCTTAGACATCTATAGATGTATGCAAGATGACACTGAGCTGATGGCGATCAGCAGGCTCTTACCATTTGCATATGGGGTGACCATCTTCTTATTGGTCATTACGCGTGCGGTGGCATTATTAACCTAAAAGGAGAAAGTAGGAGGGGGCAGGGGAAACAGACTAGATTAGAAAACATAGAACAGTTTATCCAACATCACAATACTTTTATGTTTAAAATGTAGATTTTAGAGAGCAGGGATTTAAACAGCAATATAATACATAGTACTTCAATTAAATGCTTATTAGATGAGGCTAACAAGAGTAAAAGGAAGCTTTTCAGTCTCCAGCTGGAAATGTAGGACTACTCTACCACCCGGAATGCCAAAGGAAAAGCTCTCTGGAGGTTTCTTAAACAGTTGTCTCGCCAATGAAAAGAGAACAAAAGTAGATGGGAAACAACTTTCTGTTTACACGAGCTTTCAAATTTCTTAATAAAGAAGAAGCAAGGGAGCTCTGGTGGCTTAGTGGCAAGAAGCTGCACTGCAATCCCAGAGTTAAGTGGTTCGAAGCCACCAGATGCTGTGCTGGAGGAGGAGGGGCAATCTCCTCCTGTACCAGTCAGATCCGATTTGACGGTACACACACACAAAAATAGAAAAATGAAAAATTAGAAAACAATCAGAAGCTTGTTGCTGGAATCATGAAACAGTTTTCAGGAAGATAAGAAAGCAAATATACGGATCTTATCTGCATTTGTTGGTGAAACACAGTATGTATGGCTCACCACACAGAGGATAGGAGTATGTGAGATTAGTGAAAGAAATACAGGAACTTAGATTCCCAGGTTGATGAGAGTCTCTAGGATCACCCAGATTTTCTAGACTAAGTGGTCTGTTCATTTAAGAACAATGTTTTCAGAAGGCCTTGAAAAGGGCCTTAATATTTATAAAAACATTAAGAAAACAAAGCTTCTCTTTCTTTTTCTCATTATAGAAGTGCATTTTGAGTGTTTGGGCAAATAGGTGTTAAGAAGATGGGTTGATAAGAAAACCCAAAATGAAAAAAAAAAAAAAAAAAAAGAAAAGAAAACCCAAAATGGAGCTTAGGAAGCAGGCTCCCATGGTCGAAGGCAAGACCAGAGTTGTGTGTCAGGTCACATGTGTGGCCGATTTGAAAAATAAAAAATACACTTTGTTTTGCCTCTTGCAATTGACATTGTGACAAATTTGCACAGCAATTAAAAAAAAAAAATTAAGTAGAGCTGGGACTGGAACCAAACCAAGGAAGCACACAAATCCCGCAAGGAGTCCTTGAGGACTTGTGCACCCTGTGTGAAACTCCATTTACTCCCATTTTCCTCACCAAGTAACAGCAACATTTCACATTTAGAAAGAAAGAATGGACACAACAATGATAAGACCGAGAGCATGCAGTTAAAAAACACACACACACACAAAGAAAAGAAAGAAAAAACGATTTTGGAAAGTAGGGAGAAAGTGGGAGCGAGGTTCTCAGAGACAGCGATTAGAATGGAGCAGGTGCTTCAAGAGCGGACTGCAACCAAGCACTTAGGAGGGAAAATGGCCAGAACCAATCAGAAACTACCAGTCAGCAAGAGCCCAACAGCTGCACAGGAGACGGAGGAAGGGGAGGAAGGGGAAGGGAGGACACAGGGAGGGGAGGACAGACGGAGCGGGAGGAGACTGAGGAAAGGAAGGGTGAGGGGCAGGAAAGAGAAAGACGGGAAAGCGGTCACGGGCAGGTCAACCGCGGTCAAGAGCAAAGGAAGAGCAGTCACAGCTACAAACGGGCCGTCTGGGAAAGAGGAAACGTAGCAAAGGAAGTCGGGGCAGGAAGTGCATTAATAAGACCAGCCAAACTGGAGTTGAGTAACTCTGAGTAAGATGTGCAAGGGGGAAAAAAATCACCATGAAGTCAGTAACCAAACAGCTCAGACTGCTACAAAACAATATATACATCCAAAGTCCAGGCACATTACTCAACAGCATTGAAAAGAAACGGGGCGGAGGAAAGAGGAGGAGGAACAACAAGTCAAATCACATTTTGTCGTGTTAATGTGAGATGGCAGATGGACTGTTTTCTTTCTTATTTGTTTTGCAATTACATTTTAAAAAAGCGTCTTCTCTAGTGCTTTGGTTTCACTTACCGCCAACGGGTACCCTCGCCGGCATTGTGTATAGTGACCATGGAAAGAGTGTCAAGTGGAGGGCCCTAAATGCTAAACCATTGGAAAGGGGGGAAAAAAGCAAAATATGCAGACATCTTACTCAAAATGGTGGCTTTTATATTTAATACGTTTAAAAGTTGGGAAAGGAGCCAGTTAACCTTCATTGCATCATTACAAAGGGTTGGTTAACACCAAAGGCTGGCTGAGGGACACTCAAGTTACAGTCACCAGTCAGCCATCGACCCCCCAACCCCCAAGAATTTTCTCTAAAATGTCAGAATTAATGTCTGAATTCTTGATGTTTAAACAAATCAAGAAACTAGCTCTAGACTTTGCTCCCTCCCACAGCCACTATCATATTCTACTCCTTGCTTTCCACACACAAATGGAGGCGAACTGGCCTCCCAGGAGAAAGAGGCTATTGGCTGGCCCACTGATTCAGTACAGGACACGAGGTTATAAACTGGACAGTTTTTTAGACATTTTTCCAGTTAGCCTTTTTTTTTAAGGCCTGATTACAGAAATTCAGAGTTGAGTGAACTGAAGCAAAAGAAAAAAACCAACAGAGCAGAAGGATGAAAATTTGGAAGAAGAAAAAAAAGTAAATTAAAAAAACCCCATATAAATACACGTGCACACGCACACACACAAAATCAAAATGAAAACCTCCAAACAACCAAAAAATGAGAGGGAGGAGGACAGAAGGGTGAACTTCATACACGTCAGTGCAAGGAGGTGAAGACACAGAGGCCAACACACAGACGTGTGTGTGTACACACACACACACACTCACACACGACAGGGTTCCACAGGTGAAGTAAGTGAGGTAATACACAAAAAGAGAAATCAAAAGATAAACCAGAAATTGAATTATTGAAGACATGCACCTCGATTTTACGGCCCTCTACCACGGTGCCGTGTAATTTCTCCCTGGCCCTGTCTGCATCAGCACTATTCTCGAAAGTTACGAACCCGAATCCCTGCATGCAGTGGGAGAAGGGGGGAAAACATGCACATCGTTACATTGAAATACTGATCTCTTGGCAAATAGATAAAAAAATATCACAGCATGAACTGACATCAGCAACAACTTGGCAATTCGCTCCCAAAGTCAAGTATTTGGTCCATGCATATTTCGTAAAGAGGAATTAAATCCAGGAAGGAAAAGGAACTGTCATAATAATTGGAATAAAAATTTAATTAACAACAATAATAATAGTAATACAAGAAAGCATAAAGCAAGTGAGGCCAGACCAAAAATAAGGTACAGATAGTTACTCAGGGCAAACTAGTTGATAAAGAATCTGAACATTTTTTAATGTTCTCCCTTTCTTTCCCAAACCTGCTACGACTGCGTGTGCATCCCTTTATGCGATGCCAAAATTCTCCATATAATGAGATTTTCTGGAGAGGTCTAATCACCTTTGCCCTATTCTGCTCACAACCCTATTAACTCCTTCAGATATGGAATAATTAGAAGGACAGTGTGATGCATCAGACCATCCACAGGAGAGCAAACTGGAGAACTGTCGAGTGGCGCTCTGGTCCATAGGGAAGCGTGCTGCTAGCCTAAGGGTCTCGCCACCTTGGAGGATCAGATCCACCAGCAGTGAGACAGAGATGGACCTTGCCCTGTGTGACACACGGCGCTGGAAACCCAATGGGAAGGTATCTGACTGTGAGTTGGCTCAGACTCGGCAGCAATGAACTGCACCAACTTGAAGTGACCCGACTGCTGCTGGTAGCTTCCATCCAAATGACGCCTGATGTGTGGAAGTCCCTTGAACATGGCACAAAACAGTGCTGGTCCCGGGCCTTCGTCCTGACTGGCTGCGCACTAGCCTGTTGCCATCTGTCTGGTTGTTTCATGACGTAACTTTGGAAGTAGATTGCTAGGTCTTTCTATGCAGTCCACCTTAGTCGAGAAGGGCCACTGAGTATCCTGGCCACATGAATGCGTTCACCGGCAGGCTAGCAGTGGCTGCACGAGTGATAGTGACTGGAAGCTGGCCCTGGGTCTACTGCGTGGGAGGTGAGAATCCTACCGCTGAACCACTACTGCTCCTGACCAGACTGGCAATTACAGTAAAGATATGTTCAGCTGGCTTTCGGAAAACTATTAACCCTAATTTGCCTTAATCAGACATTTATCAATGTCTGCACCTGATGTTAAACTTAGTAGTGATGTTCCACATATTACAGAAAAAACAGGAATAGTTGATGAGTAAGGGACTGAGGTCTAGTTTAGTGACATCAATTATAAACTCCTCAAAGGGAACAGAGTATCATCAGACAGCAACACAGCTGTTACTCTGAGTTAGGAGCAATCTTTGTCTTCTGTAGATGCTGGGTACAGGGGCGGGTCTAAAGGAGGCCTGAGAATTCATTAGGTAAATAAAGCAAAAGCAGGGAGCCAAAGAGTTAACTCACTTTACTTTTCTGTGTTCACATCCTATCGGAAAGGCAATTGCAACATCAGCAGGATTTACCATATAATATTTATAGATTGCGTAAGGCTTTACATCAATTTCATTCTATGTATTTTAACATTATATCTCTACCATCTAACTCTACGTTTACAACTAATATCCTCAAGCTATTTCATGTGCAAGGAGATAAAAGTATTTCTAGTACCACCGTGAGTTAAATGTAGGGCTGCTAACTCAAAGATTGGTGGTTTGAACTTACCATCCAGGAGAGAACAATTAGGCAGTCAGTCTACTGCTAAAATGCCCCGCCTTGGAAACCCGCCGGGACAGTTCTCCTCTGCCCCACAGGGCTGCCGTCAGTCAGAACCAGCTGAATGGCAGTGAGGCTGGTTTAAGGGTGGCACATTCTTGATGTATTCTAGGCACGTCCTCATTTCCCATTAGCTTTGTTGCCCTAGTGTTCTTTGACTATTCCTCTGCAGGATGACTAGAAACCTGTTCTTTTTGATGGATGCTGTGTCTTGTCACTGAATACTGAGTCTTCCTGTATACAACGCACTGATTTTTAACTCGGACAGTAAGTGGTGTGCACTGCTCAAAAATGATTTTACAAAACCAACTCCAGTGTTCTGAAGGACCTGATAAGTTAGCATTCTAAAGGATCCCATGGACACGTGATTCTCTATGGAAGACTCCTCGAGACTACCTCTATCCACAACTGGGACATTACCATAAATGACTCTGTAATTTGCAGTGGCAAGCTAACAGAATTAAAAAAAACTGTGTTGTTTAATGGTTCCAATCCACCAGCTGCTCTACAGGACAAGGATACATTCAGTCTCCTCCCATGTGATGTACTGCCTTTGAAAACTTGCTGGGTCAGCTATGAGTTTGTTCCGACTCGATGGCACACAACCACAATATATAAAAACATAGACTGTTTAGGATGGAATATTGAAGATGATTTAATTCTTAAAGAATGTATCAATTTGGTGAAAATATAAATGGGAACATATTTTCAGAAACAAATACTGCTATACAGGGACAAGTTATTAATAAATTAAAGTGCTTGCCATCTTCTGAACATAAGAATCGAGTTCCCCAATACTGGAGAATTCTCCAGAATGCAAATAAAGTTTTATAAAGAAAGGTCATAGATAGTTTTTATGTTATATTCTAGAAGTACTATAATTTGCATTCCAAATGGTCCCCAAAGTAATAACAATTTAAATAAATGATAAATAATAGGTGGAGATGAATGCCTGGGATTTTTACTTTACCGTTATTTAGGACTTCCTGGTATGAAACATACAAGTAAGAGGCAGAAAAATGGCTTCCTAAATGAGCCATGTCCCAATCCCCAGAGTCTTGGGAACATATACTACCTTACATAGCAAAGAGATTTTGCAGATGAGATTTAAGTTAATGGTCTTGAGATGGGAAGATTATCCTGGATTACCTGGGTCCAACATAATCACAAGCGTGCTTACAAGCCAAAGAGGGAGGCAGGAGGGGCAGAATGCAGTACCACAGCTTGAGGGAGATCTGACCAGTCAATGCTGTCTTTGTAGATGGAGGGAGCCATGAGCTTTCTGTTGTTATGTATACTGCTTGTTGTTTTTGTTGTTACATGCTGTCCACTTGGCTCTGACTCACAGTGACTCTATATACAAAAGAGTCACACACTGCCCGACTGGCATCCTCAACTGGGAGCTGCATGGCTCCGCAGAGGCGGCGTCTCTCTGGTAGTCTGACTCCACCATAGCTCTCCAGGAGAAAGATGAACAATGCCCTCGTGGGAAATTTATAGCCTCAGAAATCCAATGAAGGGTCAACTATGACTTGGTTGATTTCATGGCAGTGAGAGCAAGGGAACAATAGGCAGAATCTGCCCTACAACATTTTCTGTGCTGTAATCCCCAGGTCCTTCTGCAGATCTGCTGAGAGAGGACAAATGCTAATCTCTTGGTGGTGGTTGTTTGGCGCTGTCAAATCAAGTATGACTCACAGTGACCTTATGAACAAAAGATTGGAACCCTGCCCTATCCTCACACTTCCTGCAGCAAGTCACTGTGACAATCCACCTAGTTGAGGATCTTCTTTTCCTTTGCTGACCTTCCACCCTTCCCAGCATCATGTCCTTCTCCAAGGAAAAACTCCTCCCAGCAACATGCCCAAAGTATGTGTGGCGAAGCCTCATCCTTCCTGCCACCAAAGAGGACTCTGGCTGCACTGTCTCCAAGATCTATCCGTTCATTCTCTTGGCTGCTCATGGGATATTCAGTGTTCTTCTCCAGCACCACAGCTCAAAAGCATCGATTCTTTTTCTGTCATCCTTCTTCATGGTCCAGCTATCAGATGTAAAACAAGTGATCGGAAATACCACGACCTGAATCAGACATACCTTAGGCCTCTAACTAACATCACTACGCCTCAATAATTTGGAGAGGTACTTAACTGCAGATTTTCCCAGTGTAATGTGTCTCCTTATTTCCCGAGTTCTTGTACCAAGAATATTAAGGCGGATCCAAGCTTGAGGAATCTGTTAACCGTCTCAATATCTCCATCCATCATGATACTGTCTATCGATTCAGTGGTGAGAATCTCTGTTTTCTTGATACTGTGATGCAATCCACACCAAAGGCTGAATTCCTTGACATTTTACAACAAGTGCTTCAAGTCCTCCTCACTTTCAGAAAGCAAAGTGTGTCATCTGCATAACACAGGCTATTGATGAGTCTCTCTCCAATCCTGATGCCACATTTCTCTTCAGAGAGCCCAGCTTCTGAGATAATTTTCTTAGCAAACAGACTGAATAGGCATGGAGAGAAAATACTATCCTTTTGGTTAAGAGCCTTAAAATTTAGGCACTCTACCACCAGGCTCCTTGATTTTGGCCTAATGAGACCGACGTGAGACTTCCAGCCTACAGATCTGTAAGATTATATATGAGTCGTTAGACAACAACAACAACAACAACAACAACAAGAGAGCTCTGTTGGCCTAGTGGATACAAAGTTATGCTACCAAGCTAAAGGAACGTGATTTTAATCTGCAGCCCTCAGGTCTGGTTTTAATTGCTTTTGGTCAAACATTCTTCTAAGTGGCATAGCACTGGTCTGTTCATTTGCTGTACAGAGGCAACTCGTGGTTGCTGTGATGCTGAACACTGTGACACTGATGTGTCAAATATGATAATGGTTACCCATGGTGGACAGTGTTTGGTGGAGCTCCCTGATTAAAACAACCTTGAAAGCAGGAGTGGCATCTACTTCTGATATAGACTGCCTCCAGAAACTCTATGAACTTGTAGATACAATGAATGTTATACAAGTGTTCAGGTTGCTATGAGTTGTCTACGACTTGATGACACTTAACAACAAAACAACATATATGTAAAAAAAAAAAAAAAGGTCTGTTATTTTAAAGTACCAAATTTGTGGCAACTAGTTTATAAGTAGATATAATCAGGGCAATGAGAAACAGAACCAGAACCAGCACTTTAAAGTATTTTTTCTTATTTTGTTTTCTCTCATGCTGAAACTATTAAA